AAAATGTTAAAACACCTGGTACGGCAGGGTTCACATAACTATCTCGTACACTGTAATGTATATTAATAAAATGTATTATACCTCGTTACAATTGCAGCGAAACATTGTACACGAACTGAAGTGTGCGCTAGTTTGAAATGCTATAGAACGTCGACCTAAATGTACACAGAATGTCGTGTCACCTTTTTCAACTCATAACGTCTATATACCACGCATGATTATATTTAATGGATCTCGTTATTGTTGTGAGGTTTTAGACGATTCAATGGACATACACGAATCAAATCATTGTATGTGAGACGTATAGTATAATGGGGAACCAGTCGTATAAGACCATGTTTCTTTTGTATTTGTATTCAGGTGGAGATCTAATTAAATAAAAAGAACCCGATTACCGCATAATTGAGCTTAAAAATTCATATTTAGCGTGTTGAGTACTAGTATAGGGTGTTATGCATTTAAATCGGATTGATAGATTGATAGCGGGGGTTTATATTAGCGTGCGTCTTTAGTCTGTGTAATGGTATTGTAGTTGTTTATGTATATTGTGATTTAACGACGCAGAAAAGCTATCATGTTTCTTTCTATAGACTTGCGTATCACCAACGTGCGACAACTGGTATAAAAAATTAAAGTCAATATAATTACATAGTTGTTGTGCTTTTCATATCACACTATCGAAACTACAACTAATCGATTTTATGTTTGTTATTAGAAATTATTAAAATACCACGACAAAGACGAAATGCCGCGATAAGAAGAGATATGGACATACAGTTACTTTCGTATATTCATTAGAGAACAGTCTTACTACGTTACTGACAATATTGAATATTTACCACAAAGCTGCATCTTTACAATTAAACCGATTTATCCCTGGTCTATTGAATATTGAAATCATCAAAGTATATACAATTAAATTTGGTGTATTATTACAAGCACGTATCGTATCATGAATGCACTAAACTATATAGTCACATCAAAGTAACATTAATCTATTTTGTTACTTGAAACTATAGTTCCCAATTTTCAATTAAAATTAGTACTGCTGTAAATACGAGTAAAACTGCTTATCTGTATGTGGTCTGAGATAAATGCCAATCAACACGGTGAAAAGAGAAAAAAAGGATGTATAGTCAGCCTTGTTATCGAGTTCACTACGTCTCACGCACAGTTGAATGGTTCCGCTATGCTCGTATTGAATGATATTAACTGACAAGTGAACTAAATAACGTGGTTATACTACAAAATCTATCTTTGTCGTCTTTGCGCAAATGTGGGATTTGCAGCTTACTGAAAACAAGACGATCCACATATTTGTATATGCGATGCATCATCCACTTTCGGTCGAAGGGTGCACCGCTCAGCAC